GCATCTATTTGTGAATTTAATAATGTGGGGTTAAGTCTATTTGTGGGTCAACAGACCAATCAAAATTCATAAATTATTATTTTGCTCAGGAACTTTGAATTTAAGTACTCAAATAAAAATTATAGTATTTTTATAATTATAAAACTCAAATAGAGTCAGAGGAAAAAATTCCAGCATGATAAAGAAATAAATAGTTACAAGAAAAAACTATTTTATTTGAGTTTTAAAATTTTTTACATACAAATTTGTTTCTTGTAAAAAATAAACTTTTTATTGTTTAGTTTGAATTGATTTTATTAACTATTTTTTCAAATAGAGCCAAATTTTTCCCCCCAACTCTATCATTAAAATCTTTTATTTTCATTTATAAAACAGTGAATAATAAATATAACAAGATTCCATGATAAACCTCATTAATAAAGGGGTGGAAAAACCGCTTCAAAAAACCGCTTTTAATAATTTAATATTAAAATGATAATATGATTATAGTTTTTTGTATAGTTTATTTTTTTCTATTTTCCTCGATTTGATTCAAAAAAACAAGGTTTACAAGAGTCTCTTTGACTTTTCAAGATGCCGATGTTTGTTATTGAAATTTGTGTATTATTTTTTATGTAAAGTAAAGGCTGAATTTGCCGAATGATAAAAAAAGGAGCAAGAAAAATTGACTTCGAAACTGTTATTTGAAGCCAAAATAACCAAAAAACAACTCAGAATTTATCAAATAAAATAAACTTTTTATTAAATATTTTTTCACTTTTTTTGCAAAAATAAAAAACCCCAAAACACTAACCCGCAAGTGTACCTTTTTTTTCACACCCCCTTTCACTCCTTAATAATTTTTTTCATTTTTTTAATCGTCCATTAAACAAATACTCAACAGTCAAATCGATTACCTCTCGAGCAACATAGTAAATATATGGGCCAGCACGTGTTTTTAATAGACCACTTTTCAATGTCTCTCAGCAAAGACAGACTGCACCTTTATTTCACACCCCCTCTTGTTGGATTCCTCATTTGCTCAGAATTGCATTTCACTGCCAAACTGAAAAAACGCACTTTGGACATACTCACCAACTGAACGTGAGTGCATCCATTCCCAGCGGTTTTTCAAGTGCCTCTCAAGCAAGCGATAAATAAGTCGTTATTTCGTCATACTTGCTTTTTTAAATTTAACAAAATAAACGAAGCAACTTATTAATATTGGTTAATAAAAACAATGTAAGACGGATAATTTTGTGTTAATTATCAAAAGCAGTAAAAGGCGTTACACGCGTCTGTGATTAATTTGTTGTATTTTTAGCTTTTTTCCACCCAAACATCAATCATTTAAACAAAATTGATACTTTGGTTATAACTGTGTGGAATTTTATCAGGAAATGGTAATAAAGCGGTTTTTCTAGTCGAGCAGAAAAAACGATAAAAAAGACTGTGATAATACCGTGGACGATTCGAAAGTGCAACAATCATTTCTGTATGGTGAATGAGTTCAAGTTTATTATGTGTTTTTGCATTAAAATTGTTTGTATACCGAGAAAAAAAAACGGGTGCTGGTTTTCGTCCGCAATAGCAATTATAAATAGAAATAGAACAATTAAAATGTCCGATCAAATAAAGTAATATACTTTGACATAAATTGTTATTTAATCAACAAAACTACAGTGAAAAAAAACAAACAACCAGGTAATTACAATTATTATTTTTTTCTAGGATGTATAAACACAAACTTTTTTAAAAAATAAAGTTTTTTAACAAATAAAACTAAAAAATAACATAAAAAAGAGGTTTTGATGATAAAATGTTTTTTCAGAACTTTGTACTGGGATGCCCCGCCTTTTAAGACAAATAATTTCTAAATAATTTCTTTTTTTTCTTAACCCTCATTTTTTGTTATAAACATTTACTCTAAAAATC